TGAAACAGGTCCTGTGTCACATTGGCAAGGAGGGGCAGTGGGTACCTGGCTGGGCTGTAAAGGGGCATCGGCCAGGGTGTAGTGGGATGTGGTGGATTTGTAGGTCTCTCTGGGCAGGCAGCACTCACATGAATACTGCCTGTTCTGTGCTCACGTCTTGGCCAGGGATTCAAGATGCTGGCAGCCTCCTGCACACCCCAATCTCCTGCCAGAAGGCATCTTTGCCTGGGAGGCAGGGCTATGAAATACAGCTGCTTTATTCAGGTTCAGGCCTTCAGATCTGCCAGGCAGCTTTGAGCTCATCTGCCCAGAGAGCCTTCAGACTCTTTCCTCACTGCAACATGCAGGGCACAACAGGATGCCTTCCCTCACAAGGGGGAACTGTTCCAGCCTTCCTTATTTGTCCCTCTCTGGTACAGACCTACAAACAGCAAGGCAACACCGTGCTAAAGCTGGGGGATACAGTGATCCCCTACCTCGAGAGTTTCAGGATGTACATTACCACCAGCCTGCCCAACCCTCACTACAGTCCTGAGATCTCAGCGAAGCTAACAGTCATCAACTTCACCCTCTCACCCAGGTACCTGCTTACCTCATTAGTTGTCCATACTGCTCAGCCTCATTCCTTGCAGTCCTCAAACTCTCGGGCCTGTTGCCCCCACCTTCACCTCCATGGCTTTGGTTATAGTGGCTTGGAGGACCAACTGCTGGGAGAAGTGGTGGCTGCAGAGCGGCCTGACTTAGAAGAAGCTAGAAACCAGCTAATTGTTAGCAATGCTGAGATGCGTCAGGAGCTGAAGGAGATAGAAGACCAGATCCTGTATCAGCTCAGCACTTCTGAAGGAAACCCGGTAGATGACTTGGAGCTCATTAAAGTGCTGGAGGCATCCAAGGTCAAGGCAGGAGAGATCCAGGTCAGACAGAAGTGGAGGTGCTCCCTCCCTGCAGCTGTGCATCCTCTGCCAGTGCTGCACTAACCATGTCTTTTCTGTCCTCCAGGCCAAAGTAAAGGTTGCAGAGCAGACAGAGAAGGACATCAACATCACCCGCCTGCAATATGTGCCTGTGGCTGTCCGCTCACAGATCCTCTACTTCTGTCTCTCAGACCTCTCCAGTGTGGACCCCATGTACCAGTACTCACTTGAGTGGTTCCTCAACATCTTCCTAACAGGGATCAGTAACTCCGAGAAATCAGGTGCCTGCCCAGAACAGCCCCCTTATCCTCTTCCTCCCCCCACGTTGCTGCTCTAGCAGCAGCAGAAGCCAGCACACCTACAGAGTCAAGGCAAATGTGGCTGCTTGCATTGGCTCTCAGCATGGTCCAGAGCTGCCCCTAGTTGTGTCCGCACAGCAAGGGAATGTGTTGTCACAGCCTGCCCTCTGTTCTCTTCCCTCGTACTCTCTGCTGCCCTGTCTGACCAGGTGGGAGGGGTGTTAGTGCAGGGGACAGGCAAGGTACATGCCGTTCTGGTCATGGTGCGGCAGCAGCATGTGTTAGCCAGGCTGGTGGTGGCTGGGCCCATGTAGGCTGCCGTGGGACAGTGTGAACTCTGTCACAGTGCTGGGCACTGTTTTCTTCTGTGTGTGGGCTGTATCACACAGCCTTGTGCTTTCACAGGGGTTTCTGTGCCAAGTCTATATTGGAGAACAGAGTCTGTTCTTCCTGGGCAGGGTGAACTGACCACTGACATGGACAACACCTTCCACATCACCCATAGCACCCCCTGGTTTTTGCCTTTTTCTCAGACATCCTGAAGGACCGGATTTTGAACATCAACAACTATATCACCTTCAGTCTCTACAGCAATGTGTGCCGTAGCCTCTTTGAGAAGCACAAGCTCATGTTTGCCTTCCTGGTTTGTGTCCGGATTCTGATGAATGATGGACAGATCGATATGGTGAGCAGGACTCCTTGGCCCTTTGATGGGATCCCATCAGGGCAACTCAAGCCCAGCTATTCATCTCTAGAATAGTGTGACAAGGTGGAAAAAGAGCCTTGTTCTCTGGGCCTGGGGGCAGGTTTGACAGGCTGGTAGGCAAACCCAGAGCCTGTCTGTTCATTCAGTTCTCAAACCTTTCCCTGTGTCTATATGCAGAGCTACCTAGTGTGTATCACCTGCAGCATTTGCCAGTTTGCTGCCAGACTGCTGCAAAGGTTAGTAAGTTCAGAGGGAACAGGCAGGGAGTGGAAGACAGGGAAAAGCTAATGGTAACTGAACAGTGATGTTGATCTCCCCAGACCCTCCAGTTCACTTAACTCCTTGACATACACACCTGACAGGAGAGGCAGACAGAAAGTTACAGGATTTTGGTTGTATATGGCACAAACCCACATGTCTCAGGCCCATGCAGAAAGGCTATAATCCATGACCACATCCTATCCTGTTCCCAGGACGAGTGGAGGTACCTGCTCTCAGGAGGGATCATAAGGGAGATGAAGGAGAACCCAGCTCCCGCCTGGCTGTACGAGAGAGTGTGGGGAGACATCCTGGCCTTGAGCAGCCTAAAGAACTTCTCCAGCTTTGCCGATGATTTTGTAGACAACCTTGAAGAGTTCAGGGCCATTTTTGACAGCCCCAAGCCTCACAGGCAAGTGCCTCCCACTTTGTCAGCTTAGCTGTACTGCACCCAGCAGGTAATAGCATCCCTGGGAGAGCAGGAGGAGCAGCCACAGCCACAGTACCAGCTCTGCTTCCAGTACAGTGCCATGCAAGGGACAGGAGAAGGCATCACCTTGTCTCCTCAAGGATGGCCCTTGCCTGTGCATGTTGCTTACCCAAGGCAGAGCCACACAGTGCCTTAGACAGCATTATTTGGTGCTTCCCCAGTAGAAGCACCTCTGGTTTGCCTGAGGATGTTTTCAAAGCTACAGACAGCAACCTCAGCTGAGTGACTGGAAGGTCCTTGTCCCTTCTGAAACCCAGTGGCTGCCTGCAGGCAACTGGGGTGCTCTTGGGGAGCTGCAGGATCTGGCACATCCCCCCAGCATGCACCTCATTGCTTTACAGAGTGCCCCTTCCTGGGAAGTGGGAAGCTGAGCTTGATGCCTTCCAGAAGCTGCTGGTTCTGCGGTGTCTGCGGGGAGATAAGATCACCAATGCCATGCAGGACTTTGTGGTGCTGCACCTGGATCAGCGCTTCATTGAGCCACAGGTAACCAGCCAACAGGAAGTGCTGTTGGGGCCAGGAGTGGAGCAGGAGGCCTTGAGCTTTTGCTGTAAATGGGCTGTCAGCATATCCTGATTGCAGTGAGAGCATTTGTGCTTCTCTGCAGCCACAGTGTTCCCACAGCTGGGGAGACACTGGTCTTATACAAGGGATATCCTACCTAATGCACACCAGTTAAACAACTGGGAAGGGGCAGATACCACAGGCATAGGAGGGAAGAGTTTGAATGTCAAATGGGAAGTGGTTACTGCCTTGATGGTAACAAGGAGGAGAGCTCTACTAGGCCTTCACTGAACATGTTTCTGGCCTTGGCACCCAAAAACGTGCTGGTGCCTTGGAGAGGAGCTAGGGGCAAGGCAGGGTGGAGCTGCTGAGTGGGGCCACTGCTCTGACCAACCTTCTGTGTTGCAGACCACTGACCTCTCGGTCATCTTCAAGGAGTCCACTGCTACCACCCCACTAGTATTTGTGCTGTCCCCAGGCACTGACCCTGCTGCTGACCTCTACAAGTTTGCTGAAGAAATGAAGTTCTCCCAAAAGCTCTCTGCCATTTCTCTGGGCCAAGGCCAGGTAAGCTGCTGGTGCCCATCTGGGGTTAGCACTGTCTTGCTGGCACTCCCAGTGATCTCACCTAGCTCCAAGTAGAATAAACACGCTTGTAGCAGAGTGCAAACACCTTCCTGCCCCAGGGCCCTTCCTCACCAATCTTCTGCTAGCTGGAGGAGCCAGTTTGGTGGGGAGGCTGCATTAATTGCCCCTGTAGTGCCCTCTGAATTGGCAAGTTCATCCCCAGTTCTTGCATTCCCTCCACCTTGCCATACAGCTTGCATCAGACAGCAAAGATCCTGTTAAGCCATGAGGATATAGCCAGACTAGCTCTGGAAAGTGATCCTTCCACCCAGCAGCTGTCTCCCTGTCCAGCCTAGCAGGGCACAACCCATGATGGAACGAGGGTCTCTGAGCTCTTCTCATCTGCCTCTTCAGGGCCCCCGTGCTGAAGCCATGATCCACAGTGCTATGGAGCGGGGCAGCTGGGTCTTCTTCCAGAACTGCCATCTGGCCCCCAGCTGGATGCCTTCACTGGAGAGACTCGTGGAGGGCATTGACCCCAGCCAGGTGAGCTGTTCTACTGAGCACCCTGCCCACCGTGAGGGGAACAGAGCCCTGGGAGGAGCCCAGATCTAGTTGGATCCCATGTACCGGTGGTTCCCTGTAAAACCAGAGGGCGAGTACAGGAGCAGCTGCAGTGGCTGTGCCTCTGCACCCTCTGAGCACTCGTTGCCTCCTGGATTTCCAGGTGCATCAAGACTTTCGCCTCTGGCTCACCAGTCTACCAAGCAACCACTTCCCTGTGTCCATCCTCCAGAATGGCTCCAAGATGACCATCGAACCCCCCCATGGGGTCAAAGCCAACCTGCTCAAGTCCTACATTAGTTTCAGTGATGACTTCTTGAATTCTTGCCCCAAGGTAAGACACAGGTCATGCTTTGGTTTGCTATCCCCAGCCCATGCCTGCTCTAATATATGCTCTCTACCTGGATATTGCTCCTCTTCAGACATAGATCTTCCTTTCCACTAGAACTCTTACATGCTAGAGAAGGGCTGGTTGTGTTTCTAATCTGTGATGAGACAACTAGAAGTTTCACTTTGAGAAATGGAAGCAAGGGATTGCAGAGGCCTGGTGTAGCCACTTGCAGCTCTCTTTAAGCAAGGGAGTGTACACAGCCTTCCCCAGCACAGCAGACTGAGGTTTCCACCTCCAGGCTCCAGCTGGCACTGCTGAATTGGCACATCTCCTCTGCCAGGTCCCAGCAGAAACTGACTACATCCAGGGATGCCTCCTCCCAAGCCAAGCATCTCATCTCCCTGCTTCCCTGCCCACAGGTCACAGAGTTTAAGTCGTTGTTGCTGTCACTTTGCTTCTTCCATGGGAACATGCTGGAGAGGAGAAAGTTTGGGCCGTTGGGCTTCAACATCCCCTATGAGTTCACAGATGGAGACCTCCGCATCTGCATCAGTCAGCTACAGATGTTCTTGAGTGAATATGCAGACATCCCGTACAAGGTGAGTGCCTGAGCTGCCCCTTCCTGTGCAGGGAATAGGTTCATGGTGCACATGCAGGTCAGAAAGCCACGGTGGGGTCCTCACAGGTTCTGAAGTACACAGCTGGGGAGATCAACTACGGCGGCCGAGTGACTGACAACTGGGACCGGCGCTGCATCATGAGTATTCTGGAAGATTTCTACAAGCCTGAGGTTTTAACTCCTGAGTTTGCCTATTCTGAATCAGGGATCTACAAACAGATCAGCACCAATTCTGACCTCGATGTAAGTACTCAAGTAACAAATTGCGGCTCGTAGATCCAGGGGGTTGTCATAGTGCAAAGGGGACCTACTTCTCCCTGAAACCCAGTGCAGTTCCAGTTCCCTGGGAGAACAAAAGTTTGTAAGAACCTGGGCATCTTCAGATGCTTTCAGGAAACTCCATCTCTTTCAAGCAACAGGAGGAATATCTTGTCTCTGTGCCCAGGAGGTGGTAGCAGCTATCACCAGAGTTCCCCAGCTGTGAAAGCTTTTGTACTCTGAATCATTCTGATATCACATACCTAAAGAACCCAAGGAGCTCTGCAGGAGACACGGCAGGAAGCTCACTGCTAAGCTGCCTGTTCTCATAGCACATGTTTGCTTCTGTACAAGTGTAATTTAACTCCCCATCCAGACCACAAACCATGGCCATGGCCTCCACTCAGCCACCAGCTCAGAGGAGCTGCCACCCCATCAGCCTCCCCAGCAGCCTGGGTCCTGCCTGCATCAGCAAGCATTGCTCTGGGCACACATAAGCTTCCCTGAAGTCAAAGCTGCAAGTTGCGTTTCCTGGCTGTGATGGTACTAAGAGCTGTGTAGAAATTGGATGAATGAATCTCAAACACCAAGACAAGGAATTCTCCCAACTGAGCCTGGGATCTGCTGGGTTTAGCTTATCCAGCAAGCCTGGCTTAGTTATTTCTCTTGTGCCAGACCCATAGCAGCCCAGAGGGGCACCACAGCTTTATCCCTGTGCTTTTGGCTTCACAACCTGTGTGGATTCCTCTCCAGGGCTACCTCCAGTACATCAAGAGCCTGCCACTCAATGATAGCCCAGAGATCTTTGGTTTACATGACAATGCCAACATCACCTTTGCTCAGAATGAGAGCTTTGCTCTGCTGGGGACCATTGTGCAGCTGCAGCCCAAGACCCTCTTAGTGGGAGGCCGCAGCAGGGAAGAGGTGAGTGCCCTGATCCCACCAGGACCCTGGCAGCCAGTGCCTGGTGCAGGCAGCGAGCGCAAACACCAGCTGCATGCTGGGTGCCAGCAGTGACGCTGCCATCCAGGCCATAGCTCACCCCTTCTCGGCAGCCATGGCCAGGAGGATGATCGCCCACTTGCTGCTTCCCTTCCAGCTCGTGGAGGAGACTGCCAGGGACATCCTGGAAAAGGTGCCTGCTCCCATGAACCTGCAGGAGGTGATACAGAAATACCCACTGCTCTATGAAGAGTCCATGAACACAGTGCTGGTGCAGGAGGTGATCAGGTACAACCCCTGGGGGATCATGTCCTGGTTCAGCAACTGACTGGTCCCCTGGGGAACAGCAGAGACGTCCAGGCTCCTGCTCCACCTTTCAGGAACCTCACTGCTGAGCATGGCAGTGGGGTTGGCAGCCATGCTAATAATTGTGTTGTCCTAGCTGATCCCTGTCCTGTGGGGACTGATCAGTGTCTCCATCTGCTACCATCAGTAATTCAGGGCTGGGGGGGCAGCTATGAGACCCCACCAAATAGGAATCAGGCTGGGGATTACATTGAGGAACTTCACACATTGTACAGAGATCCAGACCCTTGCTGGGCAGACGGGGGTGATAAACCACTGCACTGGGTCACTCTGCTCTTTCTCTGTAGGTACAACAAGCTCCTGGAGGTGGTTGTGCAGACACTAAAGGATTTGCTGAAAGCTCTCAAGGGCCTGGTGGTGATGTCCTCTCAGCTGGAGCTGATGGCCAGCAGTTTGTACAACAATACTGTCCCAGAGATGTGGGATGCCAAGGTACATGCCCCAGCCAGCCCAGCTGCCCGCGGGAGCTCACCTGAACCAGGGAAATGGGTCATCAGCCACCACAGCTGTACTATACTGTCCTGGGGTCAGCTCTAGCAGTTATTTTTCTCCTTCCTAACAGCTGGTGCAGTGCTGTGTTTTCAGCTTTAGTCTGAGAACAATGCTGATAACACACTGATGTTTTTAGTTGATGCTAAGTAATGTTTACACCAATCAAGGACTTTTCAGTCTCATACTCTGCCAGTAGGAGGGTCACAGGAAGGTGGGAGGAAGCAGAAACAGGACACCTGACCCAAACTAGCCAAAGGGGTGTTCCATACCACAGCACGTCATGCCCAGTATATAAACTGGGGGGAGTTGCCCAGAAGGGGCAGATCACTGCTCAGGTCAGGCTGGGTATCAGTCAGCAGGTGGTGAGCATGACATGGACTGGCTCACAGGGAGCTGGCTTCTGTTGTCCCGGCATGGAGATGTTTCCTGCATAGTGCAGCTCATGGTTGTTCCCAGTCTGGGGCTGGATGAATCCCTGGGCTCTGGGTAGCTGTCAGCAACTGGGGCACAAGGTCTAGGGTGTTCTTGATTGTATTCAACACATTCTTCTGTGGGTGCCCCACAGGCCTACCCATCACTGAAGCCCTTGGCATCTTGGGTGAATGACTTGTTGCAGCGGATTGAATTCCTAAGAAATTGGATCAACAACGGGATCCCCTCTGTGTTCTGGATCAGTGGGTTCTTCTTCCCCCAGGCTTTCCTCACTGGGACACTGCAGAACTTCGCCAGGAAGTCCGTCATCTCCATCAACACCATCTCATTTAGCTTCAAGGTCAGTAAGTCAGCCAGAAGCTCTGGATTCTTATGGATTTCTTTGGAATCTGCTACTAAAAAGTTTCAAAGGCAGCAGATCTAGCACTGACTTGCCACTAGCTGCACTGTTGCCCATGGACCCCATCATCCCTTTTCTGCTCAGGTACACAAACCCACACTGCTCTGCCAGATCCCTACTCAAGGCAAGCAGAGGCCTCTCTGCCCCTCCAGACCTGCCCACATCCACCTCCACATGCTGCCCCATGGCCTCAGGATGTGAGATACCAGAAAACCCAGCCCAGCCCACCTGAGAGCTGGAACAGGCTTCCCTGTGGCAGTGCTGAATTAACTAAGAGCAGCTGAAGGGGCTCCTTGGGGCTGAGCTTCCAGGGTTACCCCTGAACTAATAAGGGCCCTGGGCTTGCTCTCCTTTGCAGGTGATGAAGGAGTCTGTAGGTGAGCTCACCAGCCCTCCCAGTGAAGGCTGCTACATCTACGGCCTGTTTCTGGAGGGCGCCCGCTGGGACCCTGTCACGTTCCAGCTGGCGGAGTCACGCCCCAAGGAGCTGTACACGGAGATGGCTGTCATCTGGCTGCTGCCCGTCCTGCCCCGCACACCGCCAGCCACCGGCTCCTACCTGTGCCCTGTCTACAAGACACTCACTCGTGCAGGTACATGCCCGAGGAACACATCTAGGAGAGGCTGCAGGATTTCTTCCTGACACACACTGGGTGAGGCCATCCATGGAGGAAAAGATTCCCCCTGCTCTGGTTGTGGAGGTGGAGCACCAGGCACTCCAGCTATGCAGTTGTGCCTCTGGCCAGGCTCTCCTCAAGCCCACACCAAAAATACACAAGCCTGTTTCCCCCAGCCCCGCTCCTCCTGTCCCCTAGCACAGGGATGGGACAGAGGATCTCAGAGAGGGTCACTTCGACAGGACTCCCCGGCAAGTGTGCAGTGTGAGGGCTGCAGTACCACCTTCTCACCCTTTTTTCCCCCATTACAGGCACGCTGTCAACAACAGGCCACTCCACCAACTATGTGATTGCTGTGGAGATCCCTACGGACAAGCCACAGAAGCACTGGATCAAACGGGGCACAGCCTTAATCTGTGCCCTGGACTTCTAGCCAGGAAACCAGCCCAGCCTGAGCCAGGGCCTCTGCTGTCCAGCACAGAGGTAGGCAGCAGCCCCTCTCCCCCTGCCCTCTGAGCTCTCAATAAATGGAGCTCGACTTCACCAGCAGCACATTCACCTGGTAGTGTTGCAGTCCCCACAATTACCTCAAGGTTCCAGCACACACACACCTCTCCCTTGGGTGGCTGTTACAGGATAGCTTTATTCTTTCAGACAGATCCATTTTTTACAGCACTTGATATTAGACACGGCAAGAGACAGAAGGATTTTCTTCCTTTCAACAAATACCAAAAGAACAGTTTCATTCCATAGTCAAGATCTGTACAAATTTGCAGATTTGCAAAATTGAGTCTTCTCCTGTGGCAGCTCCCCTCATCCCAGCTGTGCCTCAGGACACCTCCAGAGGTGCTGACCTCTGGCTTCCACAGTCTCTGCATTGCAGCAACCAGCTGCCTCTCCCCACGCTGAAAGGCTTTGCCAAGGCCACCAAGGGACTACACATACAGCATCTGCCCCAGGGCCGTGCCCAGCAGCACCAAAGTCACCTTATGAACTTGGTGTTTATAATTCACAGGGTTTCTCTGAGGACAGGGCCTGGAGCAACCCTGTGTGACCCACAGAACTGGTTGCCAGGACAGCAGCAATGGCAGCAGAGCCACAGAGTGCTGGGACCAAGGCCCAGCTCCAGGGATGAGCCCACCCCTCCTCACCTGGCACCAGAGCTGCCGATGGCCCTCAGGAGCCCTGCTGCACTGGCAGGGGGTTGTGTCCCCAGGGAGGTGAGGGCAGAGGGCAAGGCAGGACCAGCCTGGCCACACACTGGCCAACTCTGGGAATGGGGCAGGAGAATGGGCTATGTCCAGGAGCCACCTTGCTCAGCAATGGCCAGAAGTGTGTGTCAGAACCCAAAGTTTGGGGAAGGGAGGGAGAGGGTCAGAAAATAGAGACATGAATGTCCTGGGGAAGCAGGGAGCTGAAGGTCTGGACACAAGACACAAGCCACAGCCTGCTGTGGCCAGCACAGCCTTACAGTGGCATTGCTGGCATTCTCTCAACACCAGACCCACCACTGGCTGGGTGGGCTCTTCCCTTCCTGCCCCAGTCCTCAACCCAAGGTCCTGCCACAGTCCTCAGCCAGAGTGCCAGGACACAGGCCCGTGGTGTGTGGGTGCTGCCGCGGCACAGTCAGGGAGCTGCGTGCCCCGGCTAGCTGGTGGCTGCAGGCACTCCTCTCAAGACTATGTTTCCACCCTTCACAAGTCGGGCTCAGAGGAAAACACGATTTCTCTTTGTTCCCAAGCTCTGCCTCAGCTGAGGGCTTGTTGCTGTGGTCCCATTCCTCAGGCAGAGGGTAACATAGATCCAAGTGCCACTGCCCAAAGGCACAAGGCCTTGCTGCTGCTTCTCCCAGTCCAGGCTCCCCAGCTACTGGCGCTTGGCTTTATAGGGGCGGGAGCGTTTCCGTCGGTCCGGCTTCCTTTGCTTGTGACCCCCTGCCGCCGGCGCACGGAGATGTTCTGCTCCACCAGGCTTGCCAGCATGCCTGCAGGTGACAGGCATGCACGTGTCCATGCTGGTATTGCCCACGTTGGAGCACAGCCCTCCCTCTTCTACCCAAAACCCGTCAGTGGGCTCCTCCTGAGACTATCAAATCAGAAGGACGGGGAGCAGAGACATGTGGCTCCACAGACTGAGCTCTACACCTCATGCCCCAGACCCAGCAGAAACAGGGAGAGGGGCAGGGTGAGCCCCCCAGGCTCCCAGGTGCCGCTCTGCCACACTCAGTGCAGCTCCCTCAGCTGAATACAAGCCCCACACTCCATCCCCTTGGCCACAGAGCACAGCTCACCTTCCTGGGCTAGCATGGAGATGAAGGTACAGATGAACTCATCATAGTTGTGGGTTCTCCTCTGGTCATCAATCTACAAAGAGATGATAAATCCACAAGTGGGTGTCAGGGAGGAGGGAGAGCTCAAGGCTAACAGGACAAAGAACAGATGTGACAGGACCCACCTCCCAGGCCAAGGAGACCAGAAAAGGATGGGACCCACCTCCCAACCCAGGTCAGGCCAATACACAGCTGGGACTGGGTCCATCCCAGTTCAGGTGCCAGCGTTTACCACAAAGGGCAGCTGGGAAGAGGCAAGGGTGGGCAGGGGAAGAATCCTGCCAAGGCCCTGGGGCAGACTCCCCGCTTCCTCCTCCCAGTGCTGTGTTGAGCTGTGGCCCAGCTGTAGCCCTCCACCCTCCTCCTCCAGTTCATCAGTGCTGCCCATGGGCTTCAGTCTGTCCTGGCAGGAGGTCTGCCCCGTAGGGTGGTTTGGTAATGGGAAAGAGCCCCACATGCTCCCCAGGGCCATTCCCAGCTCAACACTCTCCCTCTGCTTTGACTTAAACACAACCCAGATCGAGCCTTCAGGGAGCTAAACTGGCAACACAAACAAGCCATCAACACACACCTTGAACTTCTTCCTCTTTTCCACCTCTTCCTTCAGGCAGGCCTCATAGTTTGCAATCTCTGCCTCCACGCACTTCAGCAGTGCCAGCAGCTCCTGCCAGGACCAAGCAGAGCAAACATGAGCAGACAGAGCCCTGCTGCAGTCCAGGAGCCAGCAGGGTGAGCTGGTAGATGTTCCTCTCAGCACTAGGAAAGGGAGGATTCATCAAAACAAGAAATACTTGCAAGGGAGGGGAGAAAAAAGAGACTAGCTCAGTGTAGTGAGTTTCTGAGTCAGGGTGATAAATCAGCCAGCACTGAGGCTGCAAACTTCCCTTTTGAGTAAGAGTTTCTCGCCAGCTCTCCTCCAGGGAGACCCTGATGCGCTTGTGCTGCCTGAGCCCTGTGCTGGAGGGCACAGACAGGCAGTGGAGTTCCCAGCAGGCTGGGGTTTGGGGCCGCAGGGTCCCTCTGGCCCAAAGGGGAGCGCAGCACCCCAGACATCTCAGCTGCAGGAGGCAGTGGCTCTGCCCATGGTGACACAAGGCACAGAACCTTGCCCTGCACGTTGAGGCGCAGCTGCGGTGACGCGAGCAGGACAGCGTGCACATGCGGTTCAGTCACTGCCAGCGCTGCTGCGGCTCCATGTCCCCAGGGCTGCCACAGCACAAAACTCACCTTGGGAGAATACTTTTCCCCCCCAGGGTGATCACTGGTCCTGCCAAGTCCCACCTTCTCTTTGCTGTCACTGGCCTCACTGCCCTCCTTCTCGTCCAGTTTGATTGCGACTGGGGCCTCTTCGCCAGGTTTGATGGAAGGTGGGGAGCTTTTCCCCCCATCTGGACACAGGGAAAGGAAGTATTAGGAGCCATGGCAAAGGATTGGTACCTACTCCTGAAGTCAGAGGACACTGTCCCATCACCACAGGGGAGATGCCATCACCCCAAAAACTGGCAGTCACCTACCTGTGACAGCCAGCGGGCAGAACACACCATCCTCCGTGAGGTGCAGCAGCCCAGTGCTGATGACAGGCGCCAGGTCCCTGACGGCGCGGTTGTAGCGCATGCAGTCGACCCGCAGCAGCCCGTCCTCCTCGCCAAAGAGCACCTTGGAGATGTGGGAGGTGACGGGGCTGGAGGGGCGCGTGGGGTTGGCTGAGCGGATGGGGGAGCGCAGCGGGGAGTTGAAGGCGCTGCCAATCTCAGAGGCTGTGTCTGTGCTCTCGTTGCTGGGGGTGGGAGAGGTGCTCGTCTTGATGGACAGGGGAATGGAAAGATCCTTTTGAGACTCTTTCAGTTTCTCAGCCAGGACGTTGATGGTGTTGGGCTGGAGGACGGAGAGCTGGCCATCCACAGCCCCTGCCACATGCTCCTGCTTCACCTGCCCTTTCCTTTTGTACCTGCCCAGGAACACAGGAGGGAAGATGAGTACCTGGTGGAAGGAGGCCCAGCACAGCCACGGCCTGTGGAGGACTATTTGGAACAAAATGGGCACATGAGCGATCCAGGACTCATGTCAATAGCAAGAGTCTGAGTTAGGCACCACAGCCTAGTGATAAGGTTATTTAAAGAATATTTGCAGCTGTGGAATGAGGGAGTTAGTTAGCTTGAGAAAGACAACTCCTGGTTAGGTAACAAGAAACTGCATACTTTAGGACTGATAAAGCCTTCGCATGTACTGAAAGCTTAAGCCTATCATGAGCTGTATTTATGTGCGTGCATTAGTGGACTTAGCCAATCGAGATTGTATAGAGTTCTCGTGGACAGTTAGAAAGGTTATATAAACAGCTATTCAGGCTCAGTAAAGGGTCAGCATTTAATCATATTGGTTTGTCATGTTGTCCGTATCTCCCGCAATGGCCAGCTCCACACTTGTCAGTCTAGGCTGTCTGCTGGCATGAAGCAAGGCCTGAAACATTTCTAGGTTGCCCTCACTGCTACCCGCTTCTCTGGCAGCACTCCAAAACTGAACCCCTCAGCTGCGGGCACCCCTACACAGCTGGAACATGCAGAGTGATGTGCACCCCTACTCTTCCTCCAGAAGCCCCAAAAGCACCCTCACTGTGGCCCCATTTCCTGACCTTCACAGCAGTCCAAGCACACCAACGCTCAACAGCAGCTCATGTGCCAGTCCGCACTGGAGAACAGAGGTCCCCAAAGCCTGCTGCCAATACACAGCTATAGTCAGGGCAGCTAAAATTCATGGTTAATAGTGAAGAGCTCCAGAAGGGGTTCACAAAATCCAGCAGTAACATAGCAGGTGAAGAGAACAGTCCCAACTGCACACACAGGCACAGGGTCTACACAATTATCAGTTCTCAGGAAAGAGATCTGGAAGACACCACTGGCAGTTCTGCAAAGGTCAGCTCCCTGCCCTCAGCTCAATCAGTCACCTGATGGCTGAGTTGGTGTTACGAACTTCCTCCTCGTCGTCATCATCGTAGTCATCCTCATCCTCTGAGTACTGCTGGTGCTGTCGGACTGGGACCCGGCTGCGACCCACTCCTGCTGCAAGGTCCTCCTCCTCCTGCAAAACACCATTGCTGATGGCCTGCTGGCAGTGGGGCAAGGAGGAAGAGCCCAGCAGACACATCCTCAGTCCGGCCAAACACCAGAGTGTGCCCTTTTCAAGAGACAGGGGACTCTTCCCTTGCTTGCTCAGCTGACCCACACTGATACTAACATCTTCTGCCAGGTCAGTCACTTTATTTGCCCTCTCACCTCCCAGTCTGGGTTAGTGCAAGGGCAGGCAGGCTGCAAGGCAGGGGTAGGGCGTAAACCGGTCAACAGCCACAGTCCCACAGAGGTGAGGGACTGGGAGCAAAAAGCTCAGCTCGAGTCAGGAGTTACTGGCCTGGAGCTGCAGCCTACCTGCATGGGGGACTTGGCGTAGTTGTGGTTGTCCAGGAAGGCTGGCAACCTCTGCACGATGGGGTTGGGGTTTCCTGGAGGTGCCCCATTGATGCTGCTTGCTGACGCCTTTGCCATTGGTTTGGATTTGTTGGGTGGGCTCTGCATGGCCGTGGGGTGGCCCTGGCTGGCAGGCTCATCGGTGCCATCTGCCACACAAGCACAGCACAGCCTTTCATGACCAGCACCGTCACCTTTTACTCCATGTCCTCTGCCATGCCTTACCCACCCCACAGAAGAGAACAGCTCTTATGCTCCACCAGACCCACTTCCCATTCCACTTCCAGCTGTCACCTGTGTCCCCAAGCTTAAGCCCTCCCATTTTCAAACTCCACGTCCCTTACAACTCCCCTACCAAGCACAGAGGCATCTACCACACCCCAGTACTGTGTGCATGAAGCTGGGCTTGGAGAAAAGAAAGCAAAGCTGACCATAAAACTGCCTCAAGCTCCAGGTCAAGGCAGCCACTGTCACACCACAGCAGGCCAGGCTGGCTGGCAACAACACTGATAGGGGGTCTACCTGGATGGGTGCTCTCTAGGGTCACAGTCTTGCTGCTGGCTGGCTTCACCTCTTCAGGAGGCTGAGAGTCCTGAGATTTCTGGGTCTGGATCAGCTCAGGCTGAGTTACTCGGATAAGCTTGAAGGCAAATGAAAGATGGAAACTGAGCACTGGACTGGCGTGACCCAAGCCACATCCCTCCCATTCAAGCACTACAGAACTCATTAGGGTGTGCACAATCAATGGACAATGCTATGGATAATCTCCCGGATGAGCAGCAAAGGGCCAAGCAGTGAGGCTGGTTATCTCCTCTTCCCAGAAGACATTTCCCAAGGACAAAAAACAAACCAAAATCTAGGGCCCCACAGTACATGAAGATGCCCTGAAAACAGAACCTATTCCCACCCCAGGCTCACACTCCCTCAGGGCTTGGGCTGTCCAACCTGCTGCAAGGCCTCCAGCACAGTCTGGCGGTTCATCTTCAGGATGTGCAGTTTGGACTCATACTTCATCCTCCGATCAGGCACCACGGCCATCAGGTTGAAGCGGATGTCATGGTAGGGCTCCCTGCAGGAAGGGACAGCAGACATCAGCCTGGCTCCCAGCAAAGAGATGCCCTGCACAACTCCTGCCAGCTCCTTCCAGGCAGCGCTTCCCCTGCCCTGGCCTCTAACACCAGCACACAGGAGGCTTTCCCCCAAAGCCAAGTCACCCTCACACTGGCTGAAGAAGCAGAGCAAGGTTGCTTCAGCCACAACACAAAACACCCTTCACTGGTTGGAGGGGGCCTGTGGAACTCATCTGCTCCAACCCCTGCTCCAGCAGGATCATCCAGAGCTGGTTGTCCATGACCACATCCAGATGGCCTTTGAGTATCTCCAAGGACAGAGACTCTACAACCTCCCTGATGACCCTCAAGACCAAGCATCAAAGAGGTGCAGCTCAGGACCAGTAGCACCATTCCTTCTCCTATGGACTCCAGCTTACAGGGACCTCATCTGACCACTCTCATGGAGTCTGCATCACACACAGAGTGCAGCTTCTCCACATTCTCTGAAGGCAGTCAAATTGCAAGCAACAGAAGGCAAGGAGGCAGTATTCCTGCACCCCTCCCAGGCAACACTCTCCACCCCCATTTGCACAACTTGTTGCACAGAAACCACAGCAGAAATAATCCAGGGACAAATGGGCCAGTGCAGGCATCATGGCCCAGGACCTTACCCTGCAGTGGCCAGGCCGATGCGTTCCATGATTACTCTCCTGGCTTTGTCTGTCCATTCCTCGTCATCAGCCCATGGACCTGTGAGAACGAGAGCGAGCTGGACTCAGCAAGGCAGAGCCAGGCTCCTGCTGCAGACGCACAGAGCAGATCCTGCCATCTGCACCACAGGCAATCCAATGGCCCCCTTGTGTACCAAGGAGAAAGTCAAGAGGGGCCCAGAAGGGAGAAGGACCATGCTCTCAGCCCATATGTGGAACCCCCCGCCTCTGCCTTCCAAATGGAAAACATGAGCTATTTGCAGGGCAGAAAAGCAAATTTTGAACCCTGCAGACCCCAAGTGATTCACAGGCTCAGGCTCACAAAGTCCAAGGAAATCCCAGCTCCTGCTGGGATCTACCCACCACTGGATCTAGTGCTACCATTAAGTAACCTAAGCACATCAAGTAGGTATCCTACCAAAGGGCCTGGCAGACAGAAGCAGAGCCCTAGCAGTGACAAGTAAGTGTCTGGAAGACAGTGGTCAAGTTGTAAGATAAACAGAGTAACCAGAGAAGACTGCTGGGATCTGCATTGGGACCTTGTGCCTCAACACATAACAGTTATTTGGCACAAGAAGAGAGCAAGGAGTTATGTCAGAGCTGCAGAAGGACCCTGTGACCCTGAGCCACTGGGGAGGATAATGGCAAGGCTGGAAAAAGCAATGCAATGCATTTAGAAATCATTGCTTTCCAGACACAGTCCCCAGCACAGAGGCTCCAAAGTGAGCTGCAAAAACTCAGGACAAAGCCATTGGAGTGATTCTCCACAAACATCAGCTAACGCCTCACAGCAATGAAAAATAACACATGCATCTGGACAAACCAGGGTGTATGTTCAACTGTAGCAATGAGTAGGAACAGGCAGGCTCTTACCGTGGTCAATGGGATAGACCTTCAGCCCATCCAGCTCAAACAGCCGTCCCTTGATGGGGACATAACTAACAAAGTGAAAAGCCTCCATGGTTCGCACAGCACTGATTCCATTCTGCTTCTCCGGCAAGTGCCGTGGCTCCGGCCTGCGAGGGCAGGAGAGACAAGAGGTGAGTGGGGAGCCTGCTTCCTCCAGCAGCAGAGAGCTGGAGACCCCCCTCACTCACCTGGCATGGCTGTTGTGGGCCTTGGCCAGCTCCGGGGCGTTGCCGATGGCATAGCCTTTGCTCTGCAGCGACAGCAAGGAAAACAACTGAGAAGTAACAGGAAACAAACAAAATGCCTCACCCACTGGCTCCCTAATCCCTCCCTCCTAGGACTGGGAGAGCAGCTTTCAGGCACTCCCTCTGCTCTGCTGAGGTAAAACCCAAGATAAAAAGAATGCACAATTTCTGCTAAAGAAATTACAACTAGAGAGAAACACAAACTGCAAGATATGTCTGAAGATAGGAGAGAGGAATTTTGATCACAGACTTAGAGAATGCACCTAGGCTAGGGAAGAACACAACACAAAGCTCAGAGCTGTACCCAGTGTAAGGGGACCAAGGTTCTGCAGAAGGGAAGGTAGGAAGATAAGAGAGAAGAGGCAATACTGATGTAGTGTGGAGCCTTGAAGGGCTGGAAAGGAGCCAGCTCATTAGAGCATCATCCCAAGGGGACCAAGAGGCAGATTCCCATGTGTCCCCCGTGCACAGCCCTGTCTGTACCTCAGGGCTAAAACCTTTGGTGAAATCCTTCATGCGGCTCAGCGTGGGGCCCAGGTCGACATTGTTGCAGTTCAGGAGGACACTCAGCAGGGCATGGGTGGCACAGGAATTTGGGATCAGCTGGAGGGTGACATAGGAATAAGGCAACTCTTCAACAACCCCCCAGTGTTGACAATAATCAACTAGAAAGTACTGACACAAGTACCACTTGTGAGACCAGTGACCTGACCTGGCTCTCAAAGGACAGAAGGAGGGTAATCTTGTTTAGTGAGGTGCACCATGCCCCATGAGCTCGCAGCCCTCACTGGAGTCCCTCCAACCTGGAGCTCAGGGCAGAGACTCCCAGGACAGAGGAGCTGCCCTCAGCACCACATTGCTTCCCTGAGGTGTCACACAAGGCACACACACACTTTCCCCTCGGCTCCAGCCTACCTGGTGAGCAAAGAACATGTTATTAACGATGTCATCATCGATCACTGATGTCTCATCCACCAGGGTGGAGACCTTCCGCCGTGACCTGCGCTCCTCAATCCACTTGAACAGGAAGATGAACCCATACACAGGGCTGTGGAGAGAAGTCAGCAGCTGCATCATTTTGGATGACCCACAGCCAGTGGGGCTGCTCTGCCCATCACCAGAAACCTTCTGTTTCAAACCACAGCAGAGCAAAGACAGAGAGGAAAAGAGAACCACCAGCCCCATCTTTCTGGCAGTGATACATGCTGTTTAATAAAACTCTCTCTTTCACACCTGTGACTTACCCTTGGCATTTGCTCTGCAGATCATAAATCTCCTCAACCTGCACTCCCTTGACCCCTGCAAACAAAGGGCAGAAGCTAGTGTAAAGCCCACCAGAATGGACATGGGCTTAAACACAAAACTGACTTCCCAGGAACATTTCTTGCACTCACCAAAATCTTCAACCAGGAGTGTGAAGAGACCTGGAAAGGAACAAACCCAACAGGTTACTTCTGACTGAAGAGAGCAGAGAGGAAACCTGCTGCCACTGGTCCATGAAGGTCCCATGTGGTCCCAGGCCACAGTACAACCAGAAAAATGTAGCAGAGTGGCGCCAGGATCATACTGACCCCCAGCAGCAGAACTGTTAAGTCCTAGCTTACCACAGAGCTGCTCTGCTCACTTCAGTCCTCCATCCCGTTCATCACCCCCTTCCTTGAGAGGACCTGAACAAACCCTCTCCTGCCAGAGACCAAGGAAGCTGGACCCACCTTCAGCATCAGACCCACTGGGGGACCTGCTGAGAAATAGCCGCCCACCGTGAACAGCAGCAGGGAGCACCTAAATGACACACATGGTTCTAACTCATCTCCCTGTCTCCCAGGGGACCAAATCCAAGAGCCTGGCTACAGTGACTACAAAATTCCCATTACAGAAGGACATAACCAGGATACAGACACAACAGCAAAGAGACCAAAAGTTGGTTAGACATCAGGAACTGAGCAGCAGCTTCCACTGCCATGCAAAGGCAGTCAGCCCAGTTTCCAGGCAGTCCCCCTGTTAGTGAGCTTAAGACTGGAATAATAAATCTGCTTCCTTTGCTCCCATACAAAGGCTGCTGAAAGCCTGGGAGAATATCAACAAGAAGGATTCAATCTGAAAAACATTCCTGTAAGCAACGGATTTAAGGAACCTGTTCAGTCAAGACCTGCTCAGTCAAGAAGGGAAGAGCCCAAGGAGCTTCCACACCAAAGTTAAAATGACTAAAGCAGGAAGGACACTTCTGGGAGCAAAAAACTACAACTGTCAGTGGGAAGAAACACCCTGTGGAAATGACAAGCTCCAAGCTGGTGAGAGCCTCCTTGCTGCACAACACCACCACACCAGACCCTGGCACCTTCTGACAGATGTTTCTGATCAAGATACTTGATGCCATGAAGGGCTGTGTCGTACAGGTGACATCTGCGAGATTTCAGGCAGCACTGCTGCCTTCTGTGCAACAACCCACTTCAGGCAAGTGGGAAAGGATGGGTACCTGAGTACCAGTAAAATAGGATTAAGAGCAGCAAAAGCTGTGTGACTGAGAGACCAACAGCAGACAGAGCCCTTTGCTGAGCGCAGGAAGATAAGTATAATGCCAGGGCTCCGATCTCCTAACCCACAGCCTCAAAACTACGACACCACGTCCTGAAGAGTGGCTCTCAGCCTCCTGTAGGACAACCCCACATGGCATAACAGCAATTCAGAGGTGTTAAAACAACACTCCACCAGTGCCAAACAAACTCTGGGTCTCCACCACAGAAACCTCCAATACAGGAGGAAGGGGACACCCATGATCACCCTGCTCCTGGCTGCTGGGCACCACACCATGCTCTTCAGAACCTCTTCTGGACCCCCTGGGGGAGAGGCTTTGATTCACCTACTCAGCTGCAAAGCACTGGCAGGATCTAACACACAGAGAACACAGAGGCTATCCTCACACACCCCCAAGTGACACAGGCTGTCCCCAATTGCCTGTGAAGCTCTGGGGCAATTGCCAGCCAGAGCTGTTTCTGTAGCAAGGGGCATCCCATAGGGATCCTCTCCCTGTATTTCAGTGATGTTTTGGGGTTTCATTTGCAAATGACAGGAATGCTTCATGTGACACCTTTGTGGCATTTCATATGTTTTCCACGGAGACCCCTGGGTTTACCAGCTCACACACACAGAGGGGTAGGTGTCTGGGGCACCTCCGACCCCCTGTACAAGTGCTACCAGTACCCAGGCCCCACTCTGAGCCTTCACAGAGCTCCTGCAGCCCTGTTCACCCCATCCCTGCCCTCAGCCCTACACCCACCCTCCTGACACCACTTTTCTGTCTATCCTACACTCTCATAACCTCTCCCTACCCCACTACGGGCTATATTCCGTACACCTCAACCCTGCACTGTCCCCTTCCCCCCAG